TTCAAGTGCATATTGTTGACCATGATATCTCCTGAAATCGGGGCACATACACTAGGACTCAGTAGTATGGTGCAGTCCCTATATGGCCAATGTGTCTGCCTCACCTGGAGCAGTCCGAAGATGGGATGAAACTTCCCGGACCTGCGCTCGCATCATCCCAGACGCAGGAATATCCTGATGGCTAGGCCCTGTCAGCTCATTGTAAAGTCAGCCTCGCTTTTTTCCTATCAAATTAACCGTGGTTCAGCGGCATCCTTCGGAAGAAGTTCCCCTTCGAAACCAGAGGCTTATCGATATCCACCTGTTTCAGTTTGCGTGGGGTAGAGATGATCGGGGATGGATGGATGTTTCGAGCGGAAGAAAAAGTGCGGGATAATCGTGCGCGTGCTCCACTCCACCAAAAATCCCGGCTCTCCCTCGCTCGCTCGCTCAGCTGGCTCGTCGGGGCTTGAGTGATATACCCGCTGTCTCCTGCTGGGCTGGTGAGCTACTTGGCTACCTCAGGTGAGGTGTAGAAGTCTGCCTCATGGGCCAAGGCGGCCGAGGAAGAGGGCAAAGACTGCAGAACAAGCCACCGAAATACCAAGAGGAGGGGGTTCGGCTGTGGGGAATGGATTGCCGGATGGCACTCTATCCGGAACGAACTATTACGATATACTCGGACGAGTACGAGGTAGAGCTTGCATGATAGTTTGGCTTTTAAGTAGTACCATTTCTTTACAGGTGACAATTTCTACCAGAAGTACACCGGAGACAAAACACTGGAAAGTTACTACTTCTACTACCACTACTACTACCACTACTACGTAAATTGGGACTTTTGTCGAGTGTGGACGGACAAACTCTCTTGTACTGTAGATCCGAGCATTCAACCAGAAAAAAAAGCCACGGAAAGAAAATGGCCAACAAACTCCCCCTTGTCGCCGTCTTGCTCGGCTTCTGCGCCGTCTTTTGGCAGCTGTTTCTTCGAGAGGTCCTCTTCAACGCCGTGGGGTTGGGTCGCACGGTGCAACCGGTCACAGACTTCCCATACCAATGCCGCCGAATAAGCGGCGACCCAAACCTTCAGGCCTGTGAGGATATGTGGCTGGATCGGGGATCCAGAACACTGTATCTGGCATGCTCGGATTCGCTGGCGAGAAAGGAGTGGATGCCAAAGTATGTGGACAAGCTGACCCGTTGAAGAACGTGCTTTTTGACTTGATATTGGGGGCGGGCAAAATTGTTAAGAATGATAACAGTATTCATCGTCTCAATGCCTCCGGCCGAGCGTTGCAGGACCATATCGTCGCCATGGACATCGATAGCCCGACCAGCTCAGGGGGCTACACTTACCGTGTTCTCAAGACGCAGGGTTTCTCCGGTGTGCACGGCGACGGTCGTATTCATGTCGTCGGCATGACCGGCACCACGTCTGCAGATGAATCCATCGTTCAGTTGTGGTTGATCAACGCGAGTCCCTCTGTTGATTCAGAAACGGGAGAACTGCTCGACAATGCGGTCGTTGGGGGCAACTCAACCATCGAGGTCTTCGCCACCGCACCGCGTTCTGCTAGCATGAAGCATGGCAAGACGTATGCTAACTCCCAGATTGCGACTCCCAACAATGTCGCTTTGACAAAAGATGGCGGTTTCTTCTTCACGAATGATCACGGCCCTCACAAGGTTGGCTTGGTAAGAGAGCCTCTCAAAGGCACGGTTTCACTCACTAACTCTGCGCAAAGCAACATCATCTATCTTCCTTTATTGGCACAGGGGACGTCTCATACTGCAGCGCAGCCGGTGTTTGCAAAAAGGTCGCCTCTGGGTTCAAATTCCCCAATGGACTCCATCTCGGGAGCGATGGTCTTCTCTATGTGCCCAGCGCGGCTGTCGGGGGCATCACCGTTTTCAAACCAAATGCAGACGGTTCTGTGGTCAAGGTGCACAAGATCGACCTTGATTATCCCATTGACAACCTCTCTGAGGATGCCAATGGAGATATCTTTGCCGCGACTCTGCCTAAATCGCTCAAAATGTTGGCTGGGTTCGACGATCCACTCAATCTCAAAAGCCCTCCGGCTACTGCATGGCGAATTCGGAGGTTGAACAGAGAGATCCAGGACAAGTATGAGTATGAGCTGACAAAAATCATCGAGGACGCGGAGGGGGAGGAGTTGCCTGGCACGACGACTGTGATCCACGATGCCCAGACCGGAACATTGTTCTTGAGCGGTAAGTCATGCGTCTCCCACGGTATCGAGGGTCGATTTTGAGTAATTTCCCATAGGTGTGTTTTCACCATTCATCACTGTTTGCAGGAAAGTCTGAGCTGAGAGCCCCCGGATGTTTAAAAGTACCTGAGACCCAACGGCGCCATGTAGGCCATACTATCTGGTCTGGATTAATGCCACATGACTGTATCGGTCCAGTCTGGATTGAAAATACCCACTGGATTCGAAGCATTTAGAACCAAGTGAGCTTGAATAGTGACGTGCGCTGGTCCAGGGACAGGATCGACAACAGCCAAGCGCCCCTGTTGATCTTGGTTGGCATGCATACAAAGTAGACGGCAGACGACGTCAGCAGGCTGGGCAGTTGGACTTTCCACAGTACTTGGTACTTGGCCCATGGTGTATATGGGAATTTAATGTGTACTCGGTAGGTATCTACATCATGTACTCGGTACCTCTGGTACCTCGTTCGTGGAATAATAATAATTGGATGATGACGACGAGGAAGAAGGCGAAGACGGCGAGTCGGCGCCACCGACTGCCGACCTCCGACCTCCAATGAAAATGCATGCACGGTGAAGCGTCGATGACTTGCGATCTGCGGCCTGCGATTCCCCCTGCGCAACTTCTCCTCCCACCACCATCTCATCCCAAAGCCCATCCCATCAAACGTACTCGGTACAGTATGTTCTCATGTCGTTGGCCCCCTCTTTGGCTCCTTGGCTTTTTGTCCATCAGGCCAACGGCGTTCGACCATTTGTCTCTCTGATCCTGACGCCTAACCCTTCACGTCGTTGTCATCGTTTGTCCTTGGTTTTCATCTCTCGGGCACCGAAACACCAACCGCATCACCCGTATCATGCTCTTGTTGCCCTTCAGCCTCTACGGCGGGGGAGAGGCCGCCTCCTCTGCCTCACCATCCAAAGTCAGACCTCCTTGGCAAGCCACATTCGTAACCTAGAGCCCTGAGCCCCCGAATCTTTCTTGCGGGGCTTGTTCGTCCCCTGCATGCGGGCCACTCAAGGCACATTCGTCAAGCTGAACACCAGCAGCAAGGAGCCGACATGCTTCATGCACGATGCCCGAGAACCGAATAAATAGGCCTAGAGCTGACTCTGAGTATTTTGTAAGACTGTCAGTGCTCTGTCAACCTTCTACTGAAGCAAAAAGAGTAAGAAATCGACCTGATCACTTTGTAGAGTTCGGAATCTGCTCATCAGGCCTTCTATATCCTCACATTTCCCCACTGTCCTGCAACTATTCAAACCACCGATCTCGACCGTGAACTCTTCTCAGCCCCCTCCTTGTGCCGTGCAACCCTCGTCCCACGAAGGCGGTTTGAGATCTATTCACTTGAGCTACACAGTCCCCGTTCGCGCAATATCCTCTATTCAAGATGTCAGCCTCGGCGCCAGCACCTCCAACCATTGTGATCAATACTCCTGGCGCACCAACATCGACCGTCTCTGCTCCCAGAACCGAGCCCGCAAAGGTGCGACCTCAGAAGCCCGCCCTTGTCAAGCAGTGCTACCTCTGCGACGAGCAGAACCCTGGCGACTTCTCTCCGACCACCAAATTCCTCGAGACTTGCCTGCTCTGCTCCCGCCATTTCTGCCCCATTCACAAGTCTGTCAGCTGGGACCAGGTCTGCAACATCAATCATGCCGAGTACTACCGCGAATGTTTGGAGAAGGCAAGGCAAGAGTTAATCGCTCAGGGGAAAACATCCGAGGCAAACAGGCGATCTCTTGCGGAGGTATTGATCAATGAGGGTATTTATCCGAGTTTGGGCGAGCGGGAGAAGGCTATTTTTACAACGAGCCCCGTCAGTGAGAGTGAGTCGAAGCAGAACAAATCCCATCAAAGTTGAACAATCGTGCTAATGTCTGCGGTGTAGCCAAAATGCAAGAACTCGCCAACTTTCGCTCTCTCGACGCCGCCCTGTCGGGAACTAGCACACAGCCCAAAAGCCAGTTAATTGAAGAGAAGGACTTTGTCGGGGCAGATATTGCTGTGTAGAGAGGCACCGAGGAGAGGATACATCCCATAATATACGGTGCTTAAGCATCGCACTAGAAAGGCGATGAATGACCAAATGTATCACGGTATATCTCAGCGGCGACGGATTATTGCAAGGGCCCATGAGGTCCATTTTGTTCTCGCTCTCTCTCTCGTTACGATGTCTGACTTTGCCTTTGCGCGACATTGATGGAGCAAGCACGAGTGACAAGCATCACCATTTATTTGAGAAGATATGAGAAAGAAAGTCCGTCTCAAACGTCTTGAAGAATTTGGGTTCCTCTACTTGTACAAGTAGAGTCCGCTCCATCTGCTTTGCTGCTTCAGCCCCGTAACCCGTATGTTCGACTTGGCTTTGTGCGGCGACCTCAATCCCTGAAATACTGTCCAGTCCAGTTCCTACACGTGAGCCCTGAGCCCTGAGGCCTGGGTCCGTCACCTCTGAAGACCTGTTGAACCTATTTCGCTCCACGACGGATTGTAGATGGAAAGAAATCCAGAATGCACCATATCCGGCCCGTAGCCTACCATCGCGGTAACAGACAGACAACGCAATAATGTGCTCCGGAGCCTGTATTTTTAATCGACATCACCGAAGTAGAAACACCGTATGTGTGCCTTTCAAGGCTGTATTCATGCGCCCAAGGCCCATAGAGCAAAACATAAAAAACCAAACAACTTCGCTTTCAGTGCGCCATTCCAATCGTCAATAAGAAGCATCTCGCGCACCATTCCACTGCATGACTTTATTCCTGTTCCTTTGGTTTTTCAGGCACAGACGATCCCTTCGAGAACGCTCATGGCTCTCTCCCCCTCGTGTTCAAAAATCCCGACCACCCGCTCCGCCTCCGCTCTGAGGCCCTCCTCGGTCTTCTTAGCAATGTATTCGATCCATCCCTGTACTGTCATATCCTTCTCGCCTGTGGAGAGTTGAGCGCCCGTCAAGCCAAGCAATATATCCGCATCGGCCTTCTGCGGCGATGTGGGGGTAAAAATCAACTCAATATCCGCAGGCGTCCATTTTGGTATCCCTGGGCTTTCACCCGGAGAGCTGGAGATTGGAAGTCGGCGGCTGGGAGTGGATGAGCTGGGAGGTATAGGAGGACGTTCGGATGCAGGCCGCGTAGAGGGTGGCGCGTTTTCAATGTCTGAAGTTGAGGGGGAGGGAGCAGGAGAAGAGTTATTGTGAGCTTTTGGCATCGGCGATATGAGACGAGTAGAATCGATCTTGCTGGATTTAGGTTTTGGTGTTGCTGTTCTAGCGGCAGATGTGGACAGGCGTGTCTTCACAGGCGTTGGTGATGCTTGAGGTGGTGGGCCAACAGGACTTAGATGACGAGGCTCATTGGAAATCCGTGGAGGAGTGTTGTTTTCGTTCAGCATTGGATATGAAACCTCTGCGGGGGGAGTAGGTGCTGGGCTGGGTAGAGTGTGTTGCTCTTGAGATTGAGCTTCTGGATCGAGAGCCACCTCGTGAGCATGCGTTGCGACTGGCTCATGCACGCTTTCCGCAAGAATTTCTATTTCATTCATTGCCTCTGGTCCAGATTGGGATTCTTCCTTCTTCGTCCGTGTTGATCTGGTGGTTTTTGTTCTCTTTGATTTCGTTGCTTTCGATCGGCCACCGGCAGCTTTCCGCTTAGCTTTAGTGGTAGCAGTTGATGCCGTTGACATGACCGACATGACCGACATGTTGCTTGTATCTATAGAGTCATCGAGGTCTGGTATTAAATCATTGGCAGTGCTCGGGGCTTCTGACAGAGAGGTCAAGTCTTGCGTATTGGACTGTGTTGACAGCCGCACTGAGGCCTTTGATGAACGTGACGCTCTTGATGTGCGGCCTTTCTTTGCTTTTGGCCGCTTTGCTGGTGCGGTGGTTCCTGCAAAATGGAAAAAAGGACAACTTGGCGACCGCCGATAGTGTTCGTCAAAAGGGTCATCCTTTGGTTCCCAGCCATCAAGGGACAATTTGCAGTATACGCAGGACACATAATCCTCGCTTTCTGGTAGCGGTGCAAAGTGCCACCCTGCTTCCACCATCTTTTCTACCTTACACTTCCAACCTCTTTTGGGCTCATGTGGCCATCCGATGGCGAAGGTGGCTCGACGTGCGTCTGCATACAGCTGGTCCGTAGGGTCTTCCAACGTGCTGGTGTTTTGTTTCGCATCTTGTGCGGTGCTCATCAAAATCGCCCAACCGCAGTCGCTTGAATGTTTTAAATGTTCTCCTATCGGATCGTCATCCGGCTCCCAGCCATCAAGTTGTCTTTCGCAAAGGTAGCAGATGGTGTTATCATTGCTGGCACTAGAGGGTTTGTAGTAGAAGCCAGCTCGAGCGAGTTCTTCTGGCGTTGGGGTCTTGTGTGGCCATCCTAGCTTTGATCGCTTTGAAGGTGGCTCGAAGGTCGCAAGCCGCGACTCGTACGTAGCGTATTCCATTGGAATATCGGTGAAGTTGTGAAATATAATGTAGGAAAGGTAAGGAACCGTTGATTAAAGTTGAATGCTGCCACTGTTTGTTGATTCTGCCGAATTTGGCCACGTGCAGCTTGGCGGGGATGACGTGTAGTCTTCGGGTGACTTTCCTCTTATGTCGCGTCAGATTTCAGCCCATCTCTGCTGTCCTGCGCATACCTACCTTGGTTCGTAGGAGATCGCCATGACTTCTTAAACAATGTCATAGGGATCTCAAGAGACCCAAGCAATGGTGATATACTTGAATCCAAAGACTCTATTTCCGCAAGAATGACCTTACGGGTCGTGCCCAGCATCTTGGGCAAGAGGGGGTTCCAGGAACTTTACGGACCCCCTCGACGACTACCAATCCTCGGCGCCGCTCAGCGACTCCCTTTCAACTTGGCCATCAGGCGATATGCTACTGTCGAGGGAGAACACAGTCGCGATAGCGCTCCACCTCCAGGATTTGATGCCTCCAAAGCGAAGCAGAACCCCAATGCGACTCCAAGCCAACAGTCGACGACCAGCAAACCCGACTCCTTCGAGCAAGCTCCTTCATCCCGGAGCTCCTCCAAGCCTCCTTCTTCGACTTCAACCCCGACTGACTGGGAAGAAAATCCTGACCTCAGCATTTCAAAATTCTCTGAGCTTCCAGGCAAGGATTTTGGTGTCAATCAGCATATCATCATCAATGAAGAGTTCAAAGAGGCATTGCGGCAAATTCTATGGAAGTTTCGAGCTCCCATCCGCTACGCGTTTGCGTATGGCTCGGGCGTCTTTCCCCAAAGTGCGGGAAAGAGCGGAGGCTCCCAAAACCTGCACCCAAACCCTCCAGAAGCTGTGGCTAAAGTGCAGGATGGAAACCAGAAGATGATTGATTTTATCTTTGGGGTCTCCTATTCCCAGCACTGGCACTCTCTGAATCTACATGAGCACCGAGATCACTACAGCTGGCTAGGGTCTATGGGGTCCTACGCAGTGTCCAAGGTTCAAGATTCCTTCGGGGCAGGAGTGTATTTCAACCCTTATGTCACTGTCAATGGAACTCTCATCAAATATGGAGTGGTAAACTTGGACACGCTTTGCAGAGATTTATCGGAGTGGGACACGCTATATCTCGCAGGCCGCTTACAGAAGCCTGTGAAAATTTTACGGGACAATCCAGCCGTCCGCCTCGCAAATCAGGTCAACCTAATTGCCGCAGTTCGCACCGCACTGCTCCTCCTCCCCCCCGAGTTCACCGAAAAAGAACTATATTCGACCATTGCGGGAATCTCATACATGGGTGATCCACGAATGAGCATCGGTGGCGATGACCCTCGAAAGGTCGAGAATATTGTGAAGCACCAGTTACCCAATTTCCGCCGCCTGTACGCGCCATTGATTGACAACCTTCCCAACATCTCGTTTAATGATCCGGCCTGCTCAAACAGAGACTGGCTTGATGATCCAACCGTCAATGCCAACCTGGCTCAAAACATGGATCCTGTAACACGAGGGCACATGGTCCGTCGTCTTCCCAACGCCTTCCGGAAGAAACTGTACTTTGAATATCAATCCAAATTCAGAATCCCAAGAGGCGAGTTCAACAAGATGCTCGAGAAGACCAAAGATGAAGACCCAGATCGCATTCGTCGGCGAGAGGGCGGGCCTTTTGAGCAACGAATCGCCCAAGATACCGAGGGCGGTGGATTGAGAGAGGAAGTCAAACAGGTTATTGAGCACACAATTCGGTGGCCGAGTTTTGTGCAAAGCGTGAAAGGGGCAGTGACGGCTGGGTGGTCGAGGAGTGTCCGGTACGCAAGGGAAAAAAGGGAAAAGGGCAAGAAGGGTGCACAGGCACTAGGGGAGGATGCCGCGAGAAAGAAAACTGAACCGTAAAAAATCTACATGAAGGCGGGGGCATTTTCTTGTGTGTGTTTATAAATGATGGAAACCATCTGACGAGAGCAGCTACTTTCCTGCGCCGTCTAGAATTACTATAAAGTACAAGAGCATTTAGCAATGCCCCGAGACCAACGAGAAGGTTTTTCTTCCCTTACCAGCTTGTTCAGTGAGACATAGGTGTTCCCCCCCTCGCAGACCGCTGTTGCCCATGCCCACCCTGTCCCGACAGCGAGTTTGTTAGTTCAACCACCCCTCTACAAACTCTCTTTCTCGTCCACCTTCCCATCGGCCCCGTCGTACCCGTTGACAAACTTCTTCCCGGCCTTCCAGAGCACGTAGACCGGGATGCCGACGCTCCAGGTCCAGACGGCGGAGCGCAGGTAGCTGGCCCGCTCGCTGCGCACGGTCATGTACAGGATGCTGTAGAGGGTCCGGGCGACGAGATACTCTGCCGCGCAGGTGTTGAGCTCGCAGGCGTCAAGTTTAGCGTGCGTGCCTGCGATCTATATCGTGACGATGGACAAAGACACACCCATCACGTTAGTTTTTGATATGGAACATGTGGGCGGGTTTTTCTGGTGGCTGTTTTGCATGGATAGACATGATTTGGACTGGAATGAAAGCAGGTGGAGCACGACAAACAAAGGAAGGAACAGGAGGATCCGAAAGGAGTTGCGTGGGTGCGTGCATGTGGGGAGGTGAGAGATGCGAAATAAGCCAGGGGCCAGAGTCAAGGGGCTGGTTCATACCATCGCAGCCGCAAACAGAGGAAACCCCTCCAACGCGTTCAGATGGCATCCCCGGGCACGCCAGAGCACGTCGGCCGTGGCCTTGGGCAGCGTCGGCGCCAGCGTCGAGAGCTGGGCCCGTGGCACCAGGTTGGAGTAGGCGTAGCCTGACGCCTTCATCAGTTTGGAGAAGAGGTACAAGTGCGGCGGCACTGAGAGCATGTACGCCATGGGCACCGAGTGGAGCGCAAAGGCGTAGGAGGAGAAGTAGGTCGATGTCCTGCTGACGGGCAGGGCCCCTGCCTTGGTCCGGATGGTGGCATCGGAGACGGCAGGGTCGGTATGCATCATGGAAGAAGACATGATATGGGCGTATGTTTGAAAGTTGACGGTGAAGGATGGCCACGGGGCGGGATTTGAAACGAGACAGGTTGTTTTGTGCAACGAACGACGTTTGTCCTCTCACACACATACACACACGCACACACATATATACGCCAGGGTTCATTATGCACCGATAGACACCCAAGACATGGTTGCGTTATGCTACCGGCGACAGCATAACGTACATCACGCATCTCTCCGTTAGTGGTTGGACACGCGGCCTATCAGAGTGGGGCTTCGTGACAAGACGCGCGGAGATCTATATCATTAACTTAGCTGGTTCGGTTCGTTCCATGCAGTGTAATTATGTGAATATCTTACAGTCCAGACGTAGCTCGGCAGGTTGCTGCCACTTTTAGCGGTCAGTGCCGCCGCTTTTTAAAGAGGTCGCCTAGATGTCGCCTGGATCCACAACCACGTGGCGGCTAGTCCGTGCGCGTCTATATAAACATCCAACAGACAGCAAACAAGAAAGAATATTTCTACCATCTATCACCCCATCTTTCATCGCTCCCCTGAAGCATCTCTCTGTCATTCATGATCAGCATCACAAGATGGCGAACCAAAACCCTTTCGGCCCTCAACTAGATTTCGACCTCATTGCCGATGAGCTTAGGAAGACACAAAATCTCCCTGCGGTGACCAATGGCGACCGAATTCTAGCTTAGATTCAAGCCCTTCATCGAGAATTCACAGTATTTCGTCAAGAGGCTGCAGAATTCCGTCAAGAAACTGGTCGGGAATTCGCAGCCATTCGTCAAGAGCTTACAGAATTTCGTCAAGAAACTGGTCGGGAATTCGCAGCCGTTCGTCGAGACATCACAGGTATTCGTGAAGACGTGGGAGGCATTCGCGAGGACATCACAGGTATTCGTGAACACGTCACAGGTCTTCGTGAGGACATCACAGGTATTCGTGAAGACGTCGGAAGCACTAGCTTGGCGATACGCGCATCGTATGTATATATATAACCTCTCCATCCCTTGGATTTTGACGGTACTAATTTCTATAGGAATCACAACAATACAGCTCGAGTTCAAAACACGTACCTTGCAACCAGCTCGGACCCTCTTTCACCATTCGTCAATGCCTCGACTGCAGACCCTATCCCAAACTTTCCTGGATCACCACAGGAACTTGGGCAATTGACTACGAACCGCATTAATCTTATCTTGCGACAGCTAGGTCTTGCCCCTGGCCCAGGGATGGATCTGGCGACAACGAAGCAGATGCTGAGAGTGCATATTGGGTTGACAGAGGTCGCCGGCCGACCGCCTCCCTGACAATGACACAGGTCTAGTGAATTCAAGGGAGGGTGGGAGGCGCTTGAGATAACATGTCCAGTGGGGACAGGGGAGATGCTCAGGATAATAGCCCGAAAGTCCGTTAACGAAAGGGAGGCGTTTGAGACAACAGCGTCGGAGGTCATAAACAAAAGTTCAAAGGCTCAGGGGCAGGGGCAGGGACAGGGGCATGGGCATGGGCATGGATCAAAACTGTTTTGTAATGATGAGCTACGATCAATGAGCACCAAATTCATGAGTTGAACGAGCAGTGAACTTCACTGCAATCACTTTCCAAGAACAGATTCACTGTCCGTCCTCGCTCTCACAATAAGAGCAACATGTCCGACGTCCTTTATGGTAGTATGATTTGCCTCCACGTCTCTTGTCACAAACCATACCCACCCTTTTCATTCTTCCCTTTCCTCTCTCCCCGGTTGAGCACCTCTTTACTTGTCAGGTTGCCTACGCCTTCGAGCAAGCCACCCTTGCCGAACTGCCCGCCTACCCCGTTATTAACGTCGTCCTGGATGGCGTCTACGTTCTCGTCGCCGGTGATTTTGGTCTTGCCCAGGTTATCTACGTCGCAGTTCAGTCAGCAAAGGAGCACACCAAAACGGGCTAGGAGCCCTTGGCGGTGGGTGAAGTGTTCTAGTGTCTCGTACCTTTGGCGACGTAGCTGGTCTTGTTCTCCCCAAACCAGCCGAGGACTTTGTCTTCAATCCACGGCACCCACGACTCGTATTGCTTGTTGTACCAGTTCTTTGCGCCTTCCATGACGTAGTGAGCGTTCAGCGGGGGAATTGAAACGCGCTCCTGCCGCGGGTGAAGTGCTATAAGGCTATCGCTGGTGCAGCCCCAAAAAAATTAAATGGAGGCCTCTGGGGGAGACTATGTGAAGTGTTGGTTCGTTCTTGATGGGGTTTGCGTGGGCAAGACAAATACCGAGTCAGCCAGAGACGGGCACATCAAATACCATATAGAGCCTTGGAATGAGGGACGATCACGCATGCAGAAATGCCCGTTGGAGCCACATGGGCAGTATGATGCCATCATGTGCGAAAAGAGAGGCATGTGGCACGGGAGGCTGGCTGGGGGTCTGTGGCTGGTACGTCACCTCGATCTAAACATGTTTGTGATCCTACAGGTATGGCTTCTCATTGGGCAGAATCAAGTTCTCTTGTAAAAAGGAAACTGGAAGAGAACAAGGGATGCAGTGCAGGTGGAAAAGACGTGGATGGTTTGGTGTGGTGGGTGGAGGTGAGCGATGACGTAGTTGGTGCAAGGGTTACCCCTGCTCTCACAAGTCCTAGACACGCGCGACACGGTGAGGTCGACAGGCGCCTGAAAATCGGGCATCAGGCTGAAGAGCTGGCCAGGGAAAGACAAATTATTCTCCTCTATCGAAAAACCACTGGAAATCAATTCTCCCAGAGTAAAGTGGCCCGAAAAGGGAAAAGCGGGGGTGCTCCCATGCACCCTCCATGACAGGTCCGAAAACTCCTGTGAATACCAGTCGAGAAGCCACAAGGGGTAAGTTGATGCGCCAATAATATACAACAAAGCTCCATGGTAGAGGACAAGACCTGCCTCAGATTCCACACGCCGGGGAAAAAAGTGAAGAGACACCAGCAGCCCCAGAGCCTAACGCAACATCAAGAAATCCATTATGGTCTGTGGATGGGCCTCATCGACTATGACCAGCCCAAGTCACATCTGGGTGCCCCGTTTCAAAGGGCCTGGCAAGGCCGATGGGGATGTTGCCTTCAGTTTTTGGCTCGTATGTTGCTCCATGGGATCCGTGGCCATTCTGATACGGATGGCGGTTGTGCTCATCCATCTCTCGTCGAAGAGAGGCTGGGTTGGACATTGGGTTTGAGGTGAGGGTGGGGTTGGAGCAAGAACTGCACTGCATTGCTGGCTGAGGCTGAGGTTCGAACCCGGGCATGTCAACTTCCCCCCCACAATTTCCGACAATGTAGATAATGGCTTCGGTGACCGCTTGCTTCTCTTGTGGCGATGGGTTATGCACATCAATAGGGGCATTGTGAGCGGCGCCGCAACTATGAATGTGGCTCACTGGCCGTGGTTCAAGCGGGCTGTGTTGAGACATAGCTCTGAGTCCTTCCGGACCAAGTCTGACGGATATACCGTTCCTGCGGAGCACCACAATATGCTCGTATATGGGCATGTAGGGGACACCAGCTGAGAGAGTCCAAGCTAGGGCTGGGCGTTCTGTTGTTGATCGAAAGGAATCCGAACGGTGGCGAAACGTGCTCTCTCTTCGCTGAGGTCTGGAGTTTGGAGGCGGTGAACTTGGTCTGTCATCATCGTCGTGTCGGACAGGCTCCTTGAATATTTTGTATGCCTCACTGTGATAGCTTGAGACTGGAGTCACGGATGAATATTCACTCTGTGACCTTGTATCATCGTTATCATGGTGCTTTCTGCCAGTCGACCGAACTTCACTGTGTTTCGGCTTAGCATGGATGAGTTTTTTAGAAGAGTTGTTGCTGGGCATCTTGGCTATGGCCTCGAAATCATTAAGTTGTTGTCTGTTTATTTAAGGGGAATGGGAGTCGATCAAGGAGTGGTTGCAAAAGCACAGAGTGCCTGAGGAAAGCAGCTCCATGTTATAGACTGGTTCTGCGGTTCGAGGCAGTACAAAGGCAACTGGCAAGGCTGAGCGATACAACTAGGACTTCCTGCACGTTGCCCTGCGGAAAAGGTCTGGACACGCATGTCAGAAATGCGCCGCAGTCCGCCTATTACGACAGGGGTTAAAGCTGCCCGGTTAGTGAGGGCTGGAATATCAGGCCAATCGAGCCTGGAGATAACGGAAGCCACAGAGACTTGGAGAGTGAGGTGGCTTGAGCATGATCACGCGCTGTTGGAAATGGTACTTCGGGGTAACAAGGACAGCGTAGGGGAGTTCCGGGACGTTACACAGACGTGAATGGGGGTGTGTGAGAGCACCTTGCTTCCCAGTCACTGTACAGACATGCCGGGCGCGGACGCTTGCAAGGGTGAAGCCTCACCTTTAGGCGAGACTTGATAGGAGTTCTGCTGCAGTGGCGCCTTGGTAACTAGGCGGTTACAAAAAGGGGATGGATGGAATTGGGCAAGACAAACAGCTGCACATCCCAGCTCCATGGATGAGAAGATGTTGTGGTCGATGCAAGGCAAACACAGTGGAGGTAGCCTTCAAAAGACGAGAAAATTGCGAGATTCAAATGACGAGGTTGTTCATGTGCCCGTCACGTGCACTGTATAATCACGTGGTGTCTATCGCGGCATTTCCTCCGCACGACACCGTCGGTCGGCATTTGCTGTTTTCCTCAATCTCTCCACAATCTCAACAACCGAGACAGACGAAAAGATGCTGCTGCAAGGGTCCTCCACCTTTCACAAGCATCTCCACCCCTTTGATCGCCAGACATCGGTCTCTGCACCGACATACACCGGGTGGCCATTGGCATTTAACCGTAGGAGAACGACACGAAACATGTGTCGGCAAGTACTTATTTGACGAGAATCTTGACTACCTTTCCCTTCTCAGGCATCGCTCACTTGATTGATGTCCCTTTTGACCGTTGCTTTTGCCCTGCTTCTTGGACAAGAGACATCCGCGTTGAAGGTAGCGCGCCAAAAACGTCATCTATATGACTCGGCAGTTGTGACCCTGTTCCTGTTCAGAGTCCAAGGTCTTCACATACCGTGACGAGTATCTATCTACCTGTCTCGCTCTCCAGAACTATCATATACCAGTCGGGCGACAATGGCGGTCATGTCAACGGCAAACCAGTTCCCCCAAGTGGGCTTCATCGGTCTCGGAGCAATGGGTTTTGCCATGTCAACGCACCTGGTCAGGACCGGCTTCCCAGTCACAGGGTTCGACATCTACAGACCAACGCTGGACCGTTGGCAGGCAACGTGTGACGAGATCCCAGAGTCCCGCGCCAAAGCTGCCAGCTCGCCCGCAGAAGCTGTCAGAAACGTTGCAGTCGTTTGTCTGATGGTCGCAAACCACCATCACGTCCACTCCGCACTATTCGATGATAATGGAGCGGTCCACGCCCTGCCCAAGGACTGTACGGTTATCATCCACGCCACTATACCCCCTACACAGCCATCTACCGTACGTGAGCGGCTGACGAGTGAATTTGGCCGTCCGGATGTTCGGCTCATTGATGCACCTGTGTCTGGTGGCGTCGCAAGATCAGTCAACGGCACGTTGACTATCATGGTATCCTCGGACGACATGAAGAATCTCCAAGAAACCAGCGCCAAATCGGTCCTCGAGAATGTCGCCAGTAAGGGCACGACGCTGTTCCCCATCCCTGGCGGCCTCGGCGCGGGACAGTCGGCCAAGGCGCTGAACCAGGTCATGTGCGGTATCCATATCCCCTCGGCGTCAGAAATCATGGGCCTGGCGGCGATCAATGGCGTCGATACACAGAAGTTCTACGACGCGCTGACCACCAAGGATGCTTCAACAGGGAAGACGCCCTTGGGCTGGAGCTGGATGTTTGAGAACCGCGGTCCGCGGATGCTGAGCGCGTCCCCACCCATGGCTTCTGCGACCGCCATCATCAACAAAGACGTGGGCATTATCCGCGACGAGGAGGTGCGGCTAAGCGTCGAGCTACCGCTACTCAACGCAGCTAGCGAGGTCATCACGCAGGTGATGAAGACGCACGCTGCCGCCGACGACAGCTGCATTGCGCAGTACTACCTCGGGTTCGACTCAGACCGGGCTGATCTGGTGGTGCAACGGGCCGGGAACCCTGTTGCGGCGATGGGTGACGAAGATGCCCAGCAGCACATGATCCGGATGCTAGCCACAGCGCACGCCGTTATACACCTGGTGTCAGCGTATGAGACGACGCAGTTCGCCCGCGCGCTGGACTTGATGCGTCCCGAGCAGAAGAAACAGTGGTTCAACATCATCTCGGGTGCTGCTGGTGGTAGCACGGTCTTCTCCGAGGTCATCCCGCGCG